AAACATCCACGAAACAAAGAAAGGTCTGTCACAGCCAAAAAATACACTCCAGACACGCCGCTGGCACTAGAGGCACAGCATGGCCGCCTAGTAGCAGCCCCGACCACTGCTGCTCGACCCGACCGGAAAAAACCGTAGCAGGAAGCTAGCGAAGTCGTAGTATATATATATATATATCATCACAAATAGAACTGCCCGGTAAACCGTAGGCAGAGAGAGAGAAGAGGACAACAAACGAGGGGATATATAGTCAAACAGAGCTGCCCGGTAAACCGTAGGCAGAGATGGAGAAGAGGACAACAAACGAGGGGATGTGCAAACTGTTTTGTCGGAGTTTCACCGACTCATGAGGAGGCTGAATATATATTATATGCCCGCCCTAAGTGAAGGCGGGCCTAACAAATCACGACAGGCCCTTGGTTGTCAATTTCGCATTTGGGTGTCCAGGCAGTTTCGTCGCGGCAGTTGGTTGAAGGGAAACACAGGCCGAACAGCGTGGAAAATTCCCAGGCCTTCTAGGCTTTTCCAAAAGCCCAGACCCTGGGCCAGATTCGCAACCTCATACACAGACAGTTAGGAGGCCCAACCGAATGAGGCCCAGTAGCTGCACCAAAGGCCCAGCATCCTGGGGCCTACCGGAAGCTTCTGGGCCCAGGCCAGTCAGCCAGGCCGTCGAACGAGGCAGGCTCTTTCCATATAGGCAAGAGCTCGCTGCCTGGTGAGGGCATTCGGGCACTTGCTGGCTGGCGGCAGCGCTGCTAGGGCGATAGCTCGCGTCCTGGCTGTTGGCATTGGAGCAAGAGGCTGCGCACGTGCGGTCGTGTGGTGAAGCAGGGCGCTGCCCATAGCCCAGCCTCCATAGCTGGCTGTGGGCTTGGACATACAGTGAGGCGCAGGGGTGGTCTTCAGGTGTACAACAAAGGGAGATGTGGGAGAGAGTCAAGGGGGAGAGAGAAGGATGATGATGATGATGATGTGAGGGCACATACCTGGTATTGGCGATGGTTCTGCATGGGCGACATCNTCAAGGGGGAGAGAGAAGGATGATGATGATGATGATGTGAGGGCACATACCTGGTATTGGCGATGGTTCTGCATGGGCGACATCTTCAAGTACTTCGGGTGATGCTCACGTCAACAGTTGCATTGTCAATTAGTAGGCTAGTAGTAGTTGTGTAGGGAGTGGGCTGAGCGCCGAGCGCCAGGTAGGGAGATAGAGACTGGATACATATGTTGGCAAGCTCTCATTGACATTGATTCTCAGTGCTACGATTCTCCATTGGCATTATATTGGTGCAATGCTGCTTCCTGAACACTGTGTTACGATTTGGCTTTCAATGTGATTGTGCAATCTGAATATTGTCATCTCGCTTCTGTTCATTTTCCTTGCAATTTGGTATCAGAGCTGGTTCGAACTGCGCTCGTTGGTTCTTTGCATTAGCTGTTCGGTGCATCGCATGAGGTGTGGGGCAGTGATAAGGCTTGGGCATTGGACGTAAGGCGGCCCAGGGTTGTGCGGGCGTGCCAGGAAGCTATGTGGTGACACTAGGGGTGTACGCTGGATGATGAGAGCTCGCTGATGTGGCATTTAAGCCAAGGTGGAACTACATTCTGCTGTGGGTTGTGCCGAGGCAAAGACCGGTCATCATAAATGCACATCAGGTTGCCGGTGAGAAATCTATGGTTGGGGGCAGCAATATGAGGTACGTTGCTCTCATCCTTATCTACCCTCTCCATCTCTTCTTACTGTGAGGAAGTGAGTTCTGTCTTGAGAGTCCTCTCGATGTGAGGTGTCGCGAGCGCTCAACCTTGAGAGTCGACATTCTTCCTGGGCAGCAAGCTGGTGCGAGACATGTGATGCCTTTGAAGGGCCCTGGACGAAGCACTCGGGTCACGGTCGCCATGCCAACCCGCTGGGACTAGTGCATGCATGCTTTGCCGCAAGTCCTTGGTTTTGCTGCTGCGCAATAGAGGTCCTGCAGGGCATGCCAGCCCTTTGAACAGACGCTTACCAGACCATCTCTAAATATTTCTGGCGAAGACGCGGTGTTGATTCTGGCTGTGATCGTCGTCCTGTATGCGACGTTAAATAATTCCTTAGGAGTTACGGGGGATCTCCTTAAATGCCTCATGATCAGCCAGATCAAACCGGATGTAAGGCTCGTTGCATGCGAGGATAAATAAAGTGCAGGGGCTGGCAGGTTCGGCGTTGACTTGGGGCACAGGGGTGGGCCGGATTGCACACCTTCAGACACGCTGCTCAACCAGATGCTCAGGGCGTCGACACAAAGTGACTACTCAAGAGGGATACAGGGCGAGGGTTGGATTCCGGTAACTGTTCGTTGTGGCACTAATTAGATAAAGTTAATGTTTGTTGACCACGATGGTCAAACGACGGAGATTGACGAGTTCCCAGACCTTGGGGAGGAGACAGAGCACGATGGGGCCAACGAGACTTCGGATGGGGGAGTCGTGGCACCCATCAAAGAAAAGGCTAGGGGGACCGGGAAGAAGAAGGTAGTACGATCCACGGGCCAGGGCGACCAAGGAACGCCCGCCTGGGTAAAACTTGGTTTAGATTACGAGGTTTGGCATGATCGATTTGCTAGGGGTACTTGCATGAACTGTGGCAACTATGGCCACAAGCCCAGGACATGCCGAGGCAAAAAGGGCACTACGAAGGTGACATCACCAACTGTGGTAGGCATATCTTCGAACCCTGGTAGTGCTTCTGCGAGCACTTCGCAGGGAAACACCTCGGGCCAGTAGGAGTTTTAGCCGCTCTTACTCGCGCTGAAGTGGTTACGTTGCCTTCTCCACTTCAGGCGTTGGCCAAGGCTAGTGCCCACACATCGCCCCGCAGATACATCCAGACCCACCGACGCTCTGTTCGAGAGATGTGTCCGAGTCCCTAGAAGAGTTGCAAGCTGAGTGGTCAGGGAAGGAGCCCAGAGATTCTTGGGTGATGATCAGTAGAGGTCCAAAGGGTGAGCATTTCGTGGTAGAAGTTGATGTAGGTGGCCGCAAAGTTGGCGCCTTCGCAGACATAGGCTCTATACGAAACTTCTTCAGTCGTGCTTGTGTGGATAGACTACGCTTAGGGGACCAAGTGCAGCGGCTTAGCAGAACTGT